CTCTCTCTCTCTCTCTCTCTCTCTCTCTCTCTCTCTCTCTCTCTCTCTCTCTCTCTCTCTCCTTTTTCTCATTAGAATTTTCCTTTTTTAGGTGATTTTGCACCCAGAGTTCCTATCCTCCACCAGCCCCTTGTTACCCATGGATTATGAGGAGTTCGTCCGAGGCTGTCATCTTGGAGTATTCCCGTCATACTATGAACCGTGGGGTTATACTCCAGGTATGTGACATGTTTAGATTGTGGAATGTTTGGAATTTTATTAGTATTTTATTTTATGCATATGCATGTGATATCCAAAGTTGATATGTAATTTACTATTGGATAGAGAAACACAAAACCAAAGTGTGAGTGGCTGAGGGAATGTGGGAAGTCATTTATGTTGGGTAAAGAGAATGTTACCTAACATATGGCAGACTTTCCACCAAAATGTCATCTTACAAGAAAAAGTTGAACATACCCTGAAATGATAGAGATGTATCTAATGTTTTAAAGTAAAGACCAGAAAGGGTGTTATAAAAGATAAGTAGACAGAAAAAGCAGTTTGAGAAATATTCCATAGTGAATGAGTCATTCTGTTTTAAATTAACTGAGGGAAGTTGGCCACTCCTCACCTAACCTATAATTACAGAAATAATGAAGCCACTGGTAGTGCAAGTTTGGTGTTAGCATATAAGATAACTAATTTTTTAAGGATAATCATTTTATGTAAGACTAACTCTAACTCACTCCAGAAAGTATTCATTAAAGTCTGTGTTTTGTGTTTTGAGAAAACCCAATAAAAATAAGCACTTACTTTATTAAAGTCACTGAATGAGCATATACTAAGCTTACATGGATACCTGGCATTTCACTAAAAGTGTGATAATGAATATTTAATAAAAATAAGGATCTGTTAAGTTCCACAGAATTGCAGGCAAAATACATATATATGGAGGAGTTCCACAGTTTTATCAGATTCTCAAATGGGTCAATAATCCCATCCCACTTCCTCTCCTCCACCCGCTGCCCTAAATTAGAAACCATTTTCAGAGCAGGAGAAAAGGCCACTGTTTACATTGTATTACTTCGTGGGTAATGGGAAAATCTCTTTTTGCCCCATTCAACACCACTAGCCAACCAAAAGTTATTCCATAATCAAATATAAATTCCTTGCTAAAAATGCGGCCATCCTTGAGAGTGGTAATGTTTCGTACGACATATCTGATATTTTCTGAAAAACAGATTTTGACTAAAAGGTGAGAGAGGACTGAAAGAGACCATGGGGTTCAGTGAGCACCTGAGAAAGTGGAAAGGATTTGTGCCAAGGGACTTTTCTATGATAAGAAGGCTGGTCACTTCCAAAATATTGACCTGCTCCATAAATGTGCCATTACTTAGAGATGTAAGCTTAGAATGGAGCACGAAACCAGCTGGAATGAGACAGGGAGTGTACCATAGCAGTTCCCAGCAAGAGCTCTGGAGCTGGGCACCTGGCTTCAAACCCCAGCTCTCCCCCATCCCCTGGCTTTGTGAAGTTGGACAAGCTATTTAACTTTTCTGTGCCTCAATTTCTTCATCTGTAAAATGGAAATGATGATAGCTTCACTTCACAGTGTTGTTGAGAAGATTAAATGGACTAATACATGTAAAGAGCTTAGTACTGTGCCTGGCATAAAGTAAACATTGCTATTACTAGATAGATGGGGGCTAATGTGAGTGCATTAGAAGATACAGGAGCTGGTCTGAAGCCAAGCCTTTTGTCTATCTCCCCCCCGGCAGCCGAATGCACTGTGATGGGCATCCCCAGTGTGACGACCAACCTCTCCGGCTTTGGCTGTTTCATGCAGGAGCACGTGGCTGATCCTACTGCATATGGTGAGGTTTTTCATCATTAACCCAACCCAGGGGAAAGTGACCTTTAACCAGACAAAGCACAGGGTCTGTAGAGCCTAACTCTAAAGCTCTCCTGATTTAACTAAGGTTGATACTTCTTGTCTACTAAAAAATAGATTTAATTATGTGGTCCTTAGAAAAGATAAGAATGCTATTAATATTAAATATATTGCCCAAAAGACAAAGTGCAAAAGGAGTTCTAAAGTTAAGTAAATTTTCCTGCTACCTTTTTTGCCCACTGAACTGATTTGGCCCTCTACTACCTAGACGTGGCGTTATAATACCCACGGCCTTAGAGTACGTGTATTGGTCAGCATAATTATTTTAGAAATCTGTGCCAACCTAGCAAATTCACTTAAGTTTTTTAAGATGGCAGGAGAATATGCATATCAACCATCTCTGCGTTGCAGCAAGAAAAGTTTGAATGGGCTGGACTCTGCCCACACATTGCCAATCTCTTCGTCTTTTACCTTTGCGTCATCACTATTTTCTTTCCTCAGGCTAGAGCTGTGGTTCTCAGCCCTGGCTGCCTGCTGGGAACACTGGGGAGCCAAAAAAAAAACACGCCCAGGTTTCATCCCAGAGATTCTGGTTAGTGAGCAGCCCCAGGGAGAATCACTGATCTAGGGTATTTCTGTACTGCCAGATTTTTTTTTTTTTAAGGCAAGATCTATTTTGTTGGCTGTGTGTTGGTGACAGTTGTAAACAGTTAGAAGGCAGTCACAAAAGAACTACAGCCTTGGAAGGGAAACGATAAAGCAGAGGCAATAAGAGAGGCAGGGAGTAGATACTGCATGTGCTCTTCCATAGAACCTAAGGACCAGGAGGAAAAATGCCCTAAGGTTAGCCCTGCTTTTTACCTGTGCTTTGGCTTTTGTGTTCCTCAGGTATCTACATTGTTGATAGGCGGTTCCGCTCTCCAGATGATTCTTGCAATCAGCTGACTCAGTTTCTGTACGGATTTTGCAAACAGTCACGTCGCCAAAGAATAATCCAGAGGAACCGAACTGAAAGGCTCTCAGATCTTCTGGATTGGAGATACTTAGGCAGAGTAAGGCAGTTTGTAATCCACTTAAAGGACCACTTTAAACATCCCACTGGACTTACAAAAATATTGCTTCTAGTTATAATCTGTAAGGCCAATTCAGCATTGTAACTGTTAAAATCTCAGTGATGTTTTCACACACTGTTTTACTTAGTATGAATTGGCAAAGTCCTAAACCCAATTCTTCACATTTAGCCTGAGCCCACAACAGCAAGTCCATCTAGCACTAATCTTACTAGTGATTCTATTGTTATTGCTTAACTTAATGCATTACAAGCATGCAGAAATGTTTCATGAGGATGAGGAAAACATCAAGAGAAAAGTCTCTACTTTGTTTCACTCCAAGAGATAATGTAATCTAATTCCTCATCTAGAGTGAGTGAGTGGGTAGTAGAAATAATATTGTTTTTCAAAATGACAAGTGCAAAAGGAAATACCTTCTTTAGTGTAGTAGGTTTATAAATACCAGATGCTCATATGTCTTAGCCCTGGGTGATTTAATAAAAACAAACTGACTTTGTCTTCATGTAATGTATCTGCTTAGATACTGTTAACCTCCCCCAGACAAATGACAGATGCTGTCATTTGCTGAGTATCTACACACACGAATCTCAGTGCTCATTACAACCCTGGGTGATTAATTTTACTCTCTTCACTTTATAACGAAAGCGGAATGATAAGGCCCTCAGCCGTTATGTTTCTTATCTCAGGTCTGAAGCAGGATTTAAAGCCAGTCTGTGTGATTACTCAGGCCCCATCTTTTTTCCCACGTCATACTGCTTCTTTGTAGAATAAACCCTGTGTTTTCAGTCACCTTAGCACTCAATTCAGAGTTCAGTAAGGCCAGTATGGCTTTTCCCTCCACTGTTTTCTAATATTTCTTTACATATTCATTGAAACATAATGAAACTCTAAACTGTTTTTTTTTTTTCGGATTCTCAAACTTGTGTGAATAAAATCTGCCACTTTCTAAAAAATATATTTCATAACTAGGAGAATATTTTATATAATAACTTGGTTATTGGAGTATATAAATCTTTTTTTAACCTGTGAATTGGTCTTTTATCGTAGTATTACCAGCATGCCAGGCACCTGACATTAAGCAGAGCCTTTCCAGATAAATTCCATATGGAACCCACAACACCACCAACGGTAAATATTTTATATATTGTTTATTTGTTTTGAAAGCTAAATTTATTTATGATGAGTCCTAATAATACCTTTTAATTTAGAAGTAGCTAAGTGCACAAACTATTATACTTTTTCATAGTGTTACATCAATGCAAAGAATAGGGGAACTGACAGATCAGACCAACTCAGAGCCCTCGATTCAGAGTTGTCAGCCTCATGTATAAGATGAGCAGACACTCAGCCAATTCATGTCTCTGGAGAAGCACGTCCAATGAAAATGCTCTCTGCCTTAGTGCTTGAAATTGCTCCATTAGACTTCCATTCTTCTGAAAGTTGTTCAAAAATAAAGTGGCCCACTTTAACAGGAAATTAATTTGCTCGCCAAGGAAGTGTTTAAATATAGGGTGACTACTTGGCAAGAGGAATACAGAGTGAACTCAAGCACCACAGGAGAAATCAGACGAGATGACCATTTACGTTCCATTCAGCAGGGCCTACAAAGGAGTTTTCTAAAGTCCAACTAGACATTATAGTCATGAGACTAGCATAGGCCACTTGTCGTCAGTCACTTAGCAGAGTGTAAAATAGGAAATGGCTTGAAGGAGGGCAGCAATCGGGCCTTTTTCTTCAGTGGCATTGTCCTTACAGCAGTTTACATGGTGGTCCAAGAGCTAAACTTCTCTGCCCTCCTAACCATCAGGTGATAGCATAGGTGCAAGAGGATGAGACCCATATCATTGGGTATGAGATCCAGCTTAGCTTCTGACTTAGAGGAGCCAATACGTCATGTGCGTCTCCACAGACATCTTCATGATCTCCCAGGAACATGCTCAATTACAAAAGTCATCAAATTCAGGGATTCCCAAAAGCTATGGATCCTCATTTAGTATTTATGCATCCTCCAAGTTCAGATGTAATTCCCAGTCAGGGGCCACTTTTATCATAAACAATTTTGCCTAATAACATAACTTATATTCCTCCTGTACCAGCTGTCCAGGGCAAGAGACCTAGACAGCTAACCCAAGGTAAAATTTGCCCTTAGAGAAGTAAAAGGGCCTTGTAAATCCTTCAATTTACAAATTCCACTACCATGGTCATGATTCTAACAGAGTTAATTACTTAGTTTATTTAAAGGTGGACACTCTATTTGATAATTCAGCTATATGCATCCGTTAATTTATTTATTCAACTATTAAGTACTGAGCATCTACTCTGAACCAGGTCCTAAGTGCAGGACTCAGCTCTTTTCCTGTGTTACTGTCAGATAGAGTATCTGCACCTTGTAATGATGGTACAAGTATGACATAATAATAATCTATAAATATAGTTGAAATGCAGAGTGATAAGTACTGAAACAATTTTATACATTTGTCTCTCCATTCAAGCATGTGCCCTCCTGGAAGGCAGGGATCACGTTTTTCATGTTTCCTCAGTGCCATTGTTGTGCCTGCCCCACAGCTGGTGCTTAGGATGTGTTTATCGAATGGGTTATCTCAGTGAATCTTACTTACAAGGGCAATTTGATTGAAACCTAGTGGTACTTGCTCATTAACTGAAACAAAACTAGCTGGTGAAATTTCAGGGTCAGCTAAGTGGCCTAGCTTCCAGCATTCTTTCCAGGGGTGGCTGTCCCTGGCATGCCCAAGCTGCCCACATCCTGCCATTTCACTGAGCCAATCTAAAGCATGATATAGGGACTGACATTATCACAGGGCAACAAAGCAGTTGAGATTAGATGAAAGGTTCTGGAGTGATCACCACCCTGGTACAAATCTTTGCTGTACTACTTAATGTGCTATAAGACCTTGGGCAAGTCATTTGGCCTCTTTAACCCTCAATTTTCTTCTGTAAATGAAAAAAAACACACAAATCATTGGAGTTTTGTTACAAAGGTTTAATAAGATTTTATGTATATATATTATATAATATATATGTGTGTGCGTATATATATATACATATATACACACACACATATATTATATAATATATATATATATATATATATATATATATATCCTGGCACATGTCAATGCTTACTAAAATAAGCTACTTAGTTAATGAACCTCTCCTGAACTTGTTGGTACCAGAGTCAAAATGGATGAAAATTAGTAGTCTCTGAACAGACCACAGAAAATACCCAACTATATCTTATATTAAAGACACACGCAAAGTGTTTACATCACTGGAAAATCAAGACGTCATTATAATGTTTATGTCTTATTTTTGTCTTTGGCAGACAGAAGGATTTAAATATCCCAGGCCTTCCTCAGTACCACCCTCTCCTACAGGGTCTCAGGTCTCCAGTCCTCAGAGCAGTGATGTGGAAGATGAAGATGAGGATGAGAGATACAATGAGGAAGAGGAGGCAGAAAGGGATCGGATAAACATTAAGTCACCATTTTCTTTGGGTCCTGTTCCTCATGGGAAGAAAAAGTTGCATGGTGAATACAAGAACTGAATTCCATGCTTGCTGAACAGAGCTAATTTAGTGAGAACATAGTAAGAATAATTATTTAAGGAAATGATAATGACACAAATTTCATTTTCTTCTTCTAAGTATCACAATGGGATTGAGTCTCTGCCTAAAAAGTGGAGACTAAGTGAATAGCAATTTTATAGTTTATAATAAAATCCAAGCTATTTTCCTCAACTCTTTTCTTCCCAGTAAATTTAGGCATGAAGAAGTGTTAATTAAAGGAGGAAGACCGGAAGTGTTTTTAAAATGGTAATTTAAGCAATAAGAATTTTTATTTAATACTGCTCATTTTTAAATTATCATCACCATAGTCCTTTGCTTAGTATTTATACAGCTTCTATACCTGCCAAACAGGTCTCCCATTTTCATGCCGAAATATCCTATTCTTAGCTGTGAATGTGCACTACCTATGTATTTTAAATAACTTGGTCATTAGTGATTATTTTCATTTTTCATGAGTCAGAAACATGAATTTATATCCAGTTTTGCAGGCAATCAAAATCCATAGAAAATAGCTATTCTAAATCCAGATCTTGATGCATATTATCATATTTACAAGGTCACTTTTCAAATTAATGAGAGGAATGTATTTCTATCTGCACTATACCATCTGACTGTAATAATTTTATTGTTTAAAAGGAAAGACTTTTTGAAACCTTGGTCAATCTTCCACAGATGATAAATTGTTAAATCCAAAATGAATAAATATATTAATATTTAAAGATTTAACTTTCACTAATAATGCCCTCTTTAAAATTCTTTTAGACATTTAAATAAGATAACATGTGTAAAGTACCTGCTATGTAATAGCGCCTTATGAAGGACAACATTTAAAACTATCTTTAAAAAAAAATAGCAAAAAGAAAATTTAGAGACTACTTTATAATAAGGACAGTGTCTCTAACACATTCATGATGTGCATGGAGACATTGACTAAATGATTGTAATTAAGCATATTTATGTTTTAAATGTAATTAAATATAAAGTGGCAAAAAAGCCCCCCAAATTTACATTCACTCTTGGATTTTTTTCCCCACAACTGAGTATTATTACATTTAGATCACAGTGAACACCTTGGTTGGCATCTCAGTTGGTGGGGTCAGTAGAGGTTCTAAAAAAGTTTTGGCCTCAGTGCTGGATTGTTGATGTCAACAAGGGAAGAGTAACAACATGTGTCAGATGGTTCAAAACCAGGGCAAAACTGTAATTCAGCTCTTCCATTGCCCCATGGTTAGGAAAACATAGAAGAATGGTCGAAACGAGGAACAAATCAGGCCAAAATGCAAAATGGTGGCAAGCTCACCTGATTTAGTGGTTTAGGAAGAAAGGAAATAAATTACCTAAAACCCAACCCTTGAAAAATGCCCCCTGATGCCAATTAACCCAGTGTCTGTAGAGCAGTTTGGAAAGCTCCATACTGAAGATCAGAAAAAAATATGAGATGGATTTGTATTATAGGACAAACGCTCGTTTGCTGATGTACCAGAAAGACCTCCTGATATAAAGGGATTTCACTGTTACAATAACCATGAAAATGTATCCCTGATAGAGTGACACATTATGTATTCAAATGATACTCTTGATTGATAATTGGTAGAGTCATTGTTATTGAAAGCATGAGCTATCCAATAAAATACCTTCTTAATATAAAACTTTAAAATTCAAGTGCTTTTTTTAAAAAAATGAGAGGATAGGTTTTTTTTATTAGAAATGAATACAAATGACAGTACACATAGACATTAACTGACTTGCAAACACCTGGCTTTGAGTGGCATATGTGAGATTCAGAGTCCTCTATTCAGATAGCTGATGGACTTAACTCCATCCCCTTGCCCCAGTCATTAATTTATCCTTTCCCCAAGACTGACAAAGCCTGGTGAAGAGCAACAAATAGGATCGTTAGATGATGCTGTGTCTAGCAGAGCATGCTATACACAGTAGTTGCATAAATGCATGGTCTTATTGGGAGAAATAGAGTTACAAAAAATGACGCTTCTAAAGAATGTATATATTCATAAGGTGGAGGACGGAAACTATAGAAAATAGTTTGTGTGTGCTTGACCAGCTGACAGCAAGACTTTTTTTTTTTAATTTTTTAAAAGATTTTTTTTATTGGGGAATTAGGGGATGGGAACAGCTCTGGGGAATTGGGGAAGGGGAACAGACAAGTTGCTGTCCTTTTTGTTCTTCAGTCTAGTTGTGGAGGACGTTGCTTCACTGGCCCAAGTTG